TTTTTTTTTATATAAACATTTAAATGGTGGCTGTCATCATAACTTGATGGATTTATTCAAACATAAATTAAACATTGAAGAACAGTAAAAATGATAATATATTATATGGTGCATATAATGATGAATGAGTTTATGGTGACCGAAGGTGACGTGACATTGTTTACAAGCCGTTATATTGGCGTCTTTGCGCGTCTGAAACACTGATCGAGAGATTACACGAGACGGGATACGGATTGTAAAGTTGTCTCTTTCTTTTAACTTGCCTTCGGATGTTTAGTCATGTTTATTTTGTGCTGAAGCTGGTATTAATGTGGAGGAGATGATCTGTTCACTTCTGTTAAACCGAGGCGCTACAGCGATCTGTCACTCCACATTAAACAGCGCCAAAACTGCATTTATTGTTTGAATACTGCAATACAATGGATAGAATTTGAAATCGGAGACTTTGTTTCATATTAAAAGTAGCAAAGCAGAATTGCGATATATTGGATGGGAAGTGCCCTTCAATGTTCCGTCCATTAACTGAAAACAGGCTAGACTAATCGATTCTTGGGATTTAGGAATCGATATCGTTCCGTAAAAATGAGAATCGATTAATATCGAGATATCGATATTTTTTACCCACGCGTGTAAATGTTTCCAGCATTGCCCTCTCAGAGGATGATGATGATGATGATGATGTGACGTTTCCACCTGCTCCTCCTGTGAGGGAAGTGCTGCCGGTTTGGTGAGGAGATGGTGAGAGGAGTTGCTTCAGTCTGAAGTCTGTGGCTCGGAGGAAGTGTGGCGCTCCGCTGATTGCTCTCTGAACATCGAGTCACGTATCCGCCGGCTGAAGTCAGTCTCGCCCTTCAGATAGAGCTTATCGCTGGCTGAGCGTCCCGTGAGTGTGGAGATATCAGACACCCAGCGTCACCACACGCCACACGCATGTCTGTTCGCTCAGCGGCTCAGACGAAAAATTAAAATCAGGCGTGTTTGATGTAAAGGGCTTTCACCTTTTTTTTTTTTTATGATTGTTTTGATTTGTGTATTATGATTTAATATAGAATTATAATCAAATTAATAGCTGGCCAATTGTGTTCCTACAAATTATAACACATTTAACAGTTTTATCAATTCATCTTTTATCACGTTTATTGGGCTGGATGTAGGGTTGGGTATCACTTGGGGATTTTTCTGATACCGGTGCCAAATCGATACTTTTAAAACAGTTTCGGTGCCTGAACCGATACTTATTAAAAAATACATAAATAAAAATTCCCCATAAAATAAGGGATTGGCCATTAGCACTCATGCTGGACTCCAGAGGGCGCCCTCGCACAGAGAATCCACACATCCAGAGAACTGTGACCCTCCAGGAAATCCCTCATATGGACAAAGGCATGGCTATTATAGCTGTGACTGAGTAAACAGAACATATAAAAGTCTTGAATGATAAAATAAAGACAATAAACACTCGACTGCGACAATATAGTTTATCCGTGTGTAAATGTTTCCAGCATTGCCCTCTCAGAGGATGATGATGATGTGATGTTTCCACCTGCTCCTCCTGTGAGGGAAGTGCTGCAGGTTTGGTGAGGAGATGGTGAGAGGAGTTGCTTCAGTCTGAAGTCTGTGGCTCGGAGGAAGTGTGGCGCTCCGCTGATTGCTCTCTGAACATCGAGTCACGTATCCGCCGGCTGAAGTCAGTCTCGCCCTTCAGATAGAGCTTATCGCTGGCTGAGCGTCCCGTGAGTGTGGAGATATCAGACACCCAGCGTCACCACACGCCACACGCATGTCTGTTCGCTCAGCGGCTCAGACGAAAAATTAAAATCAGGCGTGTTTGATGTAAAGGGCTTTCACCTTTTTTTTTTTTTATGATTGTTTTGATTTGTGTATTATGATTTAATATAGAATTATAATCAAATTAATAGCTGGCCAATTGTGTTCCTACAAATTATAACACATTTAACAGTTTTATCAATTCATCTTTTATCACGTTTATTGGGCTGGATGTAGGGTTGGGTATCACTTGGGGATTTTTCTGATACCGGTGCCAAATCGATACTTTTAAAACAGTTTCGGTGCCTGAACCGATACTTATTAAAAAATACATAAATAAAAATTCCCCATAAAATAAGGGATTGGCCATTAGCACTCATGCTGGACTCCAGAGGGCGCCCTCGCACAGAGAATCCACACATCCAGAGAACTGTGACCCTCCAGGAAATCCCTCATATGGACAAAGGCATGGCTATTATAGCTGTGACTGAGTAAACAGAACATATAAAAGTCTTGAATGATAAAATAAAGACAATAAACACTCGACTGCGACAATATAGTTTATCCGTCTTATTCAAGCCATCTCTGGTATTTTCATAATTAAGTATATTTATAATCCATTGCTAATCGACGTATTCTTTTTAAAGTAGCCTATGGAACATATTTTCTGCCTCGTGACAAGAAGCCTCATCAGATCACAGAAGGAAGCATGTGACTGGTGTTGTGGAGTAAAAAGGTTATAATGTTTAGAAATGTGAACACAAGGGAGGTTTAGCTTTAGGCGTTTTAATTTAAGCATGTTTAGCTTAGTTAACGGAAGGCGTCAGAGCAAGTGTAATTACTGCCTTCACGCGCTCCTCGATGCTCTCGTTCCCCGAGTTCTGCTTGTGTGTCGGAATGTGGAAACTACATGCACACTCTCGTTACTATGTGCTGGATTTGTATTATTAGAGCTTTCCGACTTGAGTTCACGTGCGTTTTCTCAGTCGGGGAATTATCTTTCTCGTGCGGTGCCGGTGATGATGCTTCTTACGTCCGTTTCGGAGAACCAGAGGACACATATTTCAATCGAGCGCTCCGGCATGGCACCGAAATCTGCGTTCTGATTCGGTTCTAGTACATACCGGTTATAATCAGCCCTGCTCTGTTTAGTTTTTTCTCTCTTTTCATGCTAAAATATACCATAAGATGCACTTTGGAGAAATGTAGCCCGTCCTACTGTTAGATCCATAAACAGATCTCGGAGACTTTAGAAATCTAGTGATCTGATGGTCAGCGTTCAGAGACTCCGAGATGTTGATGTGAAGCTCTAAACTCACATCTGGCTCCCATCAGCGGCTCTAGATGGCTCTACAGTTCCTCCAGGAGCGAGGCAGCCGTGTGTTTTGATAACCGTGAGGCCACACTTATTTTCGGCCTGTCCCGGAGGAAGAGATCACATGACCTCGGCTCCGGACACGGCTCTACAGTGGTTTCTAGTAGTTTATAATGCTTTTATTCATGCACCCGGCTCGGTTTAGGTTAGGTTTTTTTTCTTCTTTTTTAAACTCCGATGTCATAAAACTTCTCAATGTCGTGCATATCATAAAACTAAAGAGTGCACTGCTATATAAATTTCAATCTGACTTTCTCGCTCAAAGATCGCAACTTTGTAATTCATCGAGATAATATTGTTCCCTGAAGGGGATTTCAAAAGCATTTCTACTTCATCCAAAGATGGTTTTGTGTCCTGTTCTGTGTCCAGGCTGAAGAGCGTTTGGTACTGATGTGGGAGTGATCGGATCGGATCAGCGCGGCACTCCAATGATGAGCTTCACTAGAACTGTCCTGCACTGGAATGGACTGTGGCAAACATGTGTGTTGCCATGGTGATTATTCACACTAAAACACTGGAAAAGAAGGCCGTCGATGATGTAGCATCCACAGAGTCTCTGCAGCTGGTAAGACTTCACATTAGAGACGTCAGGCATCATGCATAATTTACTCCCTAATTATCAGTGCTGAGCTCAGGATTCTGCTCCAGATCCAAGCACGTTCTGTTTAATCAGATCCATGACAGTCGGGCTTGTAATAATTCTCATTAGCTCATTCACAGGCATTTTTAGGGCTGTAGGTTTGATAGGTTAAATTGTTGGATTCATTTTGGAAAAAATAACACATTGAAATACCCCGTCCAGACCTGTCCATCATCTTACACTGATGCAGTTTCTGATGAACCTGATGCAGGACGGATTCGGTTCTAGTACATACCGGTTATAATCAGCCCTGCTCTGTTTAGTTTTTTCTCTCTTTTCATGCTAAAATATACCATAAGATGCACTTTGGAGAAATGTAGCCCGTCCTACTGTTAGATCCATAAACAGATCTCGGAGACTTTAGAAATCTAGTGATCTGATGGTCAGCGTTCAGAGACTCCGAGATGTTGATGTGAAGCTCTAAACTCACATCTGGCTCCCATCAGCGGCTCTAGATGGCTCTACAGTTCCTCCAGGAGCGAGGCAGCCGTGTGTTTTGATAACCGTGAGGCCACACTTATTTTCGGCCTGTCCCGGAGGAAGAGATCACATGACCTCGGCTCCGGACACGGCTCTACAGTGGTTTCTAGTAGTTTATAATGCTTTTATTCATGCACCCGGCTCGGTTTAGGTTAGGTTTTTTTTCTTCTTTTTTAAACTCCGATGTCATAAAACTTCTCAATGTCGTGCATATCATAAAACTAAAGAGTGCACTGCTATATAAATTTCAATCTGACTTTCTCGCTCAAAGATCGCAACTTTGTAATTCATCGAGATAATATTGTTCCCTGAAGGGGATTTCAAAAGCATTTCTACTTCATCCAAAGATGGTTTTGTGTCCTGTTCTGTGTCCAGGCTGAAGAGCGTTTGGTACTGATGTGGGAGTGATCGGATCGGATCAGCGCGGCACTCCAATGATGAGCTTCACTAGAACTGTCCTGCACTGGAATGGACTGTGGCAAACATGTGTGTTGCCATGGTGATTATTCACACTAAAACACTGGAAAAGAAGGCCGTCGATGATGTAGCATCCACAGAGTCTCTGCAGCTGGTAAGACTTCACATTAGAGACGTCAGGCATCATGCATAATTTACTCCCTAATTATCAGTGCTGAGCTCAGGATTCTGCTCCAGATCCAAGCACGTTCTGTTTAATCAGATCCATGACAGTCGGGCTTGTAATAATTCTCATTAGCTCATTCACAGGCATTTTTAGGGCTGTAGGTTTGATAGGTTAAATTGTTGGATTCATTTTGGAAAAAATAACACATTGAAATACCCCGTCCAGACCTGTCCATCATCTTACACTGATGCAGTTTCTGATGAACCTGATGCAGGACGGCTGACTGTTAGAATGCAGTTATATGCTGAAAGCTGAATAAATAAGCTTTCCATTGATGTATGGTTTGTTAGGATCGGACAATATTTGAAAATCTGGAATCTGAGGGTGCAAAAAAATCTAAATATTGAGAAAATCATCTTTAAAGTTGTTCAAATGAAGTTCTTAGCAATGCATATTACTAATCAAACATTAATTTTTGATATATTTACGGTAGGACATTTACAAAATATCTTCATGGAACATGATCTTTACTTAATATCCTAATGATTTTTGGCATAAAAGAGAAATGTATAATTGTGACCCATACAATGTATTGTTGGCTATTGCTACAAATATCCCCCAGCGACTTATGAGCCTAAAATTCAAGATATGAGCACAAAAAAAAAATCATATGATATAGTTTAGAAATATCACATCAGCAAGAGTCCTGCTTTTCCCCGATATCTGCACCGTTGCAATTAATACAACAGTTCAATATAGAAGAAGTTCATATTGTCTTACATTTTAGATCAAATTTTGTCTGTTTAACTCATTTTCTCCAACAAAAGCAGTTCAGTCAAAGCCCCAGCAGAACTGTGAATGAATCCACCTTTTTGAACGAATGATTCATAGAGAGTCACTTGCTTCGTTCCTGAATGAATCAGCCATTTGAACGAATCGGTTGAGTGAATGACTAAATGACTCGCTCAGAGATCGTGATTCATATTTAGAGTATGGCTTATTATAACCCATTATTATGCAATAGTGAATCAGAATATTTCTTTCTAACGCTACTTTTTGTAATGTCTGCTCAGTGCTTTTCTGATTTAACACCATAATTGCTTTTAATGATCTTTTAGGGGGTCATTTCACAGCCAAAATTGTGTGGTTAATTTGCAATTAGATAAATCAATCAGCATTCATATAGTTAATCAGGTTAAAACTACTGCGCGTTAGTAATTTTATGACTTGTAGTAACCCAGAAATGACTTTGTTTTCTGTATAGACACCCTGTCGTGAAGCTGTACTCGAACGTTTTGTTTGGCGTGCTTGAGTCGATCAGACTGATAATCTGTCAGACAGAGGATCCTCGCTGCATGTGCGCTCTAGCGAGCTTTAGTTGTGGTTTACATGATGTGCACTAGTTAGAAGGCACACGGAGGGGTTTCCTGTCCCCGGTGTGCTCATGTAGGACGCTCATCTGATCCGTCTGTGTGTTTCTACAGCATGAGCCGCCGACCATGAGCCAGGGGACGGCCCTCTTCTCCTTTGGAATCATGGGTAAGTACAAATACACCGCAAAGTTGACTTCATAACGATCAAACATCTTTCTGTTCCCTTCACTGATTGGATCAGCGTGTCTTAATCTCCATGAAAGAGCGAAATAGAAAGTGTGCTGCCCTCAACATCTGCTCATTTAGCTGGTACCCATGAGGCCTAGTTTCAGACGCCACAGGTGCGAGCGTCTCCGAGCTGAACGTGTGTGAGCAGCTCGATGTTTGTTCTGATACTGTTTGTCTCCAGAACGACGACTCTCAGAAAACAGAGCTAGTCTTTGAGTGGAATAAACGGAGTTGACTGATCAATAGGGTTTTGTGCTGTGTGCCCACGGCCGGAGGATTTCTGCTTTTGAGGAAAATGCTGCTGTTCTGATCCGCTGGGTGTGAACCTGAGCCGCACGCTGCCATCTGAACAATGCCTGGACATCATCAGGGCCAGGGACCCCCTCGTAATTATAACAGTGATTAAGCAGATGCGTACTGTAATGTGCACACTTAGATGCCATTAGAACTTAAAAATTAGCTAGCTAGCAAATACATGCATATTAACATCGTAAACATTAACCAATGTGTGTGCAAATGTGCAACTTGTCCATCATTAAAACGGCAGCATCACATTACGTTTTGATCAACAGGTTACAAAGTTGTAGCTATATGCGCGCTCAGTTTTTCCTGTTGTACAATACGTTTGGCCAAAATGTCATTTTATAAAAGATGAAATGCTACTGTATGCACAGGCTATTTAAGTGTAGGCTATTGGCTATGACTAATTTAGATGGCAGATGCCCTCTCTCCGCAGGTCCGGTCTCAGACCTCAAATGCATAAAACATGAGCCTTTATACAGTAGACATACTAGTGTTTCTTGCGTAAAGACAACGCTGTACTTATACAAACAAGAAGATATTTATTTACCCTTGCAGGGGGCGGAGTTATGAGCTTTGACTGACAGTTTGAGCGGATCCAACAAGATTGAGTCACAAACTCTTTTTAATACCTTTCATTCGCTAAATATATTTGTAAAACAGACAGACAGACGTAAAGGGTGACCAATAGCATTGATTTATTGAAGAAGAACTAAAAAAAAAAAAGGGCACTTCGGAGAGTAAGGACAAAAAAGGGCATGTGTTCTGCACCGGTTGAGCCCTACCTGTGCACGTGCCTGCCACGCATCACGTACGTTGTCACGCGTTGACGTCATCAAATTGCGATCAGTTCGTGAGATCGGCCAAAGTTAGTGAGTACCGATCGAGTCATAAAATGCGATTATCGGCCGATACCGATCGATCGGAGCATTCCTAGTATGTAGTATAGAGTGTGATTATAGATTAAGTATGTAGTATAGAGTGTGAGTATGTAGTATTGACGAGTATGAGAGTGTAGTATGTCATGTTTCTCACGTCTCTGTTGTCCCCAATCGTGTTTCATATTATTCTGAGTAACTTCATGATTTATCGCACCGCTGGCGATGTGTTTTTCGACAGTAGTTGGTCAGCGGTCTCATGGGGTGCGAGTGATTCATGTTAAAAGCCAGTAATCAAAACACACTCTCAATACACAGATGTTCAGCCGTCTGGCAGCCTGCCACCAATCAGACGGCTCTATTTCTGGCTCTTTGTTTCTCAGGCACAGCTGTCTTCCTGTGAGCTCGACCCTCCTGCTTCTCTTTTGTTCGCCTCTGTTGTGTTAGAAGCGTCTCAGACTGGAGGTCGATACATTTACTGGAGCAGATCTGAGGTTTGAGCGTTGAAAAGCTGCGTCTATCAGCAGATCCCTAATATGTCTGCTCATAGACGGATCCGCTGATAGACGCGGCTTTCAAACGCTCATGTGTGTATCTGTGTAAGCGCTCGGTGAAGAGTGTGAAGCAATGATCATTGTAGCCAATCACAGACATATCTGTTGAGCATGTGAACACAATGGCCAATCAGAGCTGTTTGAGAATCCGCTCAAAATGCCAGAGGGAAATGCTGGTATCGTCACATTTTTTAAATTTCAATACGGACATCGGTACTTTTGACAACACTAGTTTGGTGCATGTTGTCTCAAGCTATTCTCAAAGTGTTGTGAAACGAAAATAGAGTGTATGTATGCTGCTCGTGTGTTCTCAATACACAGATGTTCAGCCGTCTGGCAGCCTGCCACCAATCAGACGGCTCTATTTCTGGCTCTTTGTTTCTCAGGCACAGCTGTCTTCCTGTGAGCTCGACCCTCCTGCTTCTCTTTTGTTCGCCTCTGTTGTGTTAGAAGCGTCTCAGACTGGAGGTCGATACATTTACTGGAGCAGATCTGAGGTTTGAGCGTTTAAAAGCTGCGTCTATCAGCAGATCCCTAATATGTCTGCTCATAGACGGATCCGCTGATAGACGCGGCTTTCAAACGCTCATGTGTGTATCTGTGTAAGAGCTCGGTGAAGAGTGTGAAGCAATGATCATTGTAGCCAATCACAGACATATCTGTTGAGCATGTGAACACAATGGCCAATCAGAGCTGTTTGAGAATCCGCTCAAAATGCCAGAGGGAAATGCTGGTATCGTCACATTTTTTAAATTTCAATACGGACATCGGTACTTTTGACAACACTAGTTTGGTGCATGTTGTCTCAAGCTATTCTCAAAGTGTTGTGAAACGAAAATAGAGTGTATGTATGCTGCTCGTGTGTAAATGAACACATTGCTGCGCTTCGCTCTGAAACACGCAGCACATGCATTTCACTAACTTCCAGCAGTTTTATTGCGATTCATCGTATCTCTGATTCTCACGTCAGCTGTTGTGTGTTGTAGAGTCTGGACGCTGGCCGGAGGTTGGCGGGGTGTGTGGTGTCCAGCAGCGGCCCGTGGGCTCCAGTCTGGAGAGTCTGTGGGACAGCGTGCGAGAGACGTGCTCTGCTCGTGAGGCGGGTGCCGCCGGTGGCATCAGCGGTCTGCTGCATGACCTCAGTCTGAGTGAAGTGCCCTCTCCTGGCAGCGCCGCGCCACCCAGCAAACGCCAGTGCCGCTCGCTGTCCTGCTCCGGCGAGCTCGGCTGTCGTTCCTCGTGGCGGCCGCAGGGGTCACGCGTGTGGACGGCCGTGGAGAAGCGTCGCTGCCACAGTGGGGGAAGCGTTCAGCGCGGCGCCTTTGCTCCATCCGGGTTTCCCGCCATGCAGCGCAGTTTCAGCTTCAGCCTGCCGACACGCATCAATCCGCCGGAGACCTTCAGCCGCGGCTTCCCTTTCTCCACGTCCCCGCAGACGCCACAGGCTCTCTACCTCTCGCACGAGCAGATCTGCCCCACCGAGTCCAGCTCGCCCGACTCAACGCCAGAGCTGGAGCGCCGCAGACAGGGACTCGCCCGCAGCCGGTCACAGCCCTGCGTCCACAACGACAAGAAGACCGGCGTGAAGCGGAGGAGACCGGCAGACTCTCACAAACACAGGCCTTCACTGGACCTGCTCAAGATGACACAGGTGTGTGTGTGCGCGTGCACGTTTGTGTGAGATAGTGTGAGTGTGCCTGCGTGTGTGGGTGTGTGTGCACGTTTGTGTGAGATAGTGTGTGTGTGTGTGCACGTTTGTGTGAGATAGTGTGAGTGTGCGTGCGTGTGTGGGTGTGTGTGCACGTTTGTGTGAGATAGTGTGAGTGTGCCTGCGTGTGTGGGTGTGTGTGCACGTTTGTGTGAGATAGTGTGTGTGGGTGTGCGTGCACGTTTGTCTGAGATAGTGTGTGTGTGTGTCAGACTCTCACAAACACAGGCCTTCACTGGACCTGCTCAAGATGACACAGGTGTGTGTGTGCGCGTGCACGTTTGTGTGAGATAGTGTGAGTGTGCGTGCGTGTGTGTGAGCATGCGTACGTGCGTGGGTGGGTGTGCGCGTGTGTGTGTGTGTACCTGGTATTCAGTACAAGGATAGTAATACCAGTAAATTTTGACCTTGTGGGGACTTTTTTTTTGCTCCCTATGAGGAAACAAGCTTATAAATCATACAGAATGAAGTTTTTTGAAGATGTAAAACTGCCCGTGTGTGTGAGAGAGAGTGCGTGTGTGTGAGAGAGAGTGCGCGTGTGTGAGAGAGAGTGCGCGCGTGTGAGAGAGAGAGAGTGTGTGAGAGAGAGTGTGTGTGTGTGTGTGTGAGAGAGTGCGTGTGTGTGTGTGTGTGAGAGAGTGTGTGTGTGTGAGAGAGTGTGTGTGTGTGAGAGAGTGTGTGTGTGTGAGAGAGTGTGTGTGTGTGAGAGAGTGTGTGTGTGTGAGAGAGTGTGTGTGTGTGAGAGAGTGTGTGTGTGTGAGAGAGTGTGTGTGTGTGAGAGAGTGTGTGTGTGTGAGAGAGTGTGTGTGTGTGAGAGAGTGTGTGTGTGTGAGAGAGTGTGTGTGTGTGAGAGAGTGTGTGTGTGTGAGAGAGTGTGTGTGTGTGAGAGAGTGTGTGTGTGTGAGAGAGTGTGTGTGTGTGAGAGAGTGTGTGTGTGTGAGAGAGTGTGTGTGTGTGAGAGAGTGTGTGTGTGTGAGAGAGTGTGTGTGTGTGAGAGAGTGTGTGTGTGTGAGAGAGTGTGTGTGTGTGAGAGAGTGTGTGTGTGTGAGAGAGTGTGTGTGTGTGAGAGAGTGTGTGTGTGTGAGAGAGTGTGTGTGTGTGAGAGAGTGTGTGTGTGTGAGAGAGTGTGTGTGTGTGAGAGAGTGTGTGTGTGTGAGAGAGTGTGTGTGTGTGAGAGAGTGTGTGTGTGTGAGAGAGTGTGTGTGTGTGAGAGAGTGTGTGTGTGTGAGAGAGTGTGTGTGTGTGAGAGAGTGTGTGTGTGTGAGAGAGTGTGTGTGTGTGAGAGAGTGTGTGTGTGTGAGAGAGTGTGTGTGTGTGAGAGAGTGTGTGTGTGTGAGAGAGTGTGTG